GCATCCTGGATGACAGAAAACATCAGCAGACTAATATAAAAGCCATTCAAGGTCTATTCTAAGTTACTTTGCCACTGACATGGTAGGGCCCATATGTCCTGATTAATTTAGGGCTACATCTGTTATACAAAACCAGTGTTCTTGGAGACTACCAAAGTAACCATCTTCTTGAAACATCACTACCTAGCCATCTAATATGAAAAAAATGGACTTACCTACTGCCAGAAAATTTGAGGCATAAATGACAACAAAAGATGTTTGCATATATTAACTCAATAACAAATAGTAATTAAATCCTACCATGTGGCGGGCATTTCACAAGATAATAAAGGTCCAAAGATTACTGTTCCTGTTAGAAATGGGGAAAAAAGCCTTCTACAAGATGATTTCCTAGATAGACATTAACGCAGATGAAGAGAGAGCTGTGGGGATAGAATGTTTATATCCCACTAAAACTCATGTCAAAGCCACAATTTAGAGACAGGGCCTTTGTGGAAGTGAAGAAGTTAAGTGAGGTCAACAGGGTGGATGATCAGTGTAAGACTGAACAACAGAGAATTCACTTTTGAGATAGAGAGGGAGGGGGGAGATGGAGGGAGAGCTGGAGAGAGGATGGACAAAGGGAGAGAGGGATGAAGGTGGGGGGAGGGGAGAATCCAGACTTTACTTCCTCATCCAGAAAGTAGGGAGTAGACTTGGCCTTTTCAGTGCTCTCTACCTTTGATTTTTTTTCCCCCTGATTTTTCTTGTAGTTGATAGGAATCTAATCTTTGGATCCAGAGTGGAATCTTGCAGAACATTCAATGGATTTTTAAATTCATTCATGTTGTAACAATCATCTCAGGCCATGTAGCTTTATGTTTACTTTGTCTGAGTGCCAGTTGTTTATTAGTCAGCTGTAATTGTAGAGCAATAACAAATCTGTAGTTGTAGAACTTTTTTCTCCGCCCCTTCCTCTGGTTTTAGAATTTCTACTTCATGCATGTGTTAGTGGAAGTCAGGGACCTTTAGTAGTCAAGGTGTTAATGGATTATGAGGACTATGAAAAAATATAAGCCTCTTCTTCTGGGGAGATTCCTCACCCCCAATCCTTTGATTTATCTAATTTGAAAATACTATGGACTGTGATTAAAGATGGAACAATGAATTGGTGTTTGTGTGTGTGTGTGTGTGTGTGTGTGTGTGTGTGTGTGTGTGTGTGTGTGTGTGTGTGTGTGTGTTTGTATCAAGTCTGAAAATGGCTTTCTATCAGCAGCTAGTGAAAAATGTTTGCTGATTTCTCTCCTGGATACCAGGCCCCTTGCTAACCAGCTCCTTAGCACTTTCTCTGTGGCTCACTTTAGTGATAGTCTCTTGTGCTAGAGACTGGAAAACACACTTTTCTATCAGCAGGACTCTTTGTAGTGTTTGGTTGGGGTATCTGTAATATTCTGGATTGAATCTAAAATTCTGCTGTGCCAGAGAGGACAACCTGGTGGAGTTGTGACTAGTATCTGATGGACCCAGAGGTAAAGGTAGGGAGAAGAAGACCAGGTTGAACAAACTGATGAAAGCGCTTTCTTCATCACCTGAGCTCTTAAGGAGGAAGGAGTTTATTTGGATTTTCCCTTCAAGTAGGTTTTCTTTTATTAAATCATTTAAGACTGAAGAAAACAGTTTTCTGGCAAGATATAATCACTAATGATGGGAAGGATGTGCTCTGGCTTTTGGGAAGTAGAAGCAAAGCATAGGTGTTGGAGTTTGGCAGACTGACACAGATTGCTGGCTAGGTACTTGTTAGTGATATGACCTTGGGCAAGTTTTCCAAGTTCCAGTTTTCTCACAGATAAAATGAAGTTAATTGGCCATTTGTAATTTTTCTTCTGGGAAGGCTCTCTTTAGCTTATTAGCCCATTTATTAAATGGGTTGTTGGTGTTTTGAGGGTTCACGTTTTTAAGTTCTTTATATATTCTGGATGTTAGGCCACTGTCTGATATCTAGTTGGTAAAAATCTTATCCTATTTTATAGGCTGTATTTTTAGCTTGTTGACTATGTCCTTTGCCATGCAGAAACTTTTCAGCTTGATGCAGTTGCATTTATCAGGTCTTTCTTTGAGATACTGTGTGTTCCAGTCTTTACTCAAAAAGTACCTACCTGTGCCCAGGAGCCCCCTAATGTGTCTCTTGCTCTTTCCTGTAATAATTTCATGGTTTCAAGTCTTACATTGGGATCTTCCCTCCATTTTGAATTGATGCTGGTACAAGGTGATAGGAGGGGGGAGGCTGGGAAGTGATATGAAGGGTAAACAAAGGAGGAGGCTGCAATGCTTGGTAAGAAATGTACGCATTATCCTGCCCATGCAATTGTAACCCCTCTGTACAGTATGTTCACAAATAAAACAAAATTAAAATTAAAAAAAAGGATCTACTTTAACTTTCCTGCATGTGGACACCCAGTTTTGCCAGCACCATTTGTTGAAGATACTGTCTTCAAGCCCATGTTTTTGTATTCTCAAAATAAGAAGTAAAAATGGCCAATAGAAACATGGAGAAATGCTCAACATCTCTGGCCATAAAGGAAATGCAAATAAAAACATCATTGAGATTCCACTTCACCCTAGTTAGAATAGCCATTACCTAGAAAACAACAATATATGCTGATGAGGGTAAGGATCAAAGGGAGCACTCCTACACTGTTGGTAGGAATGTAAACTTGTTCAACTAGCAGTGTGAAGGTTCCTCAATATATTAAACATATAGCTGCCCTATGATCTGGCAATTTCACTCCTGGATATTTGCAAGTCAAAAAAGATAAAAAAAAATACAAACATGGATATAGTAGAGCTGCCAGCATAAGCATGTTTATTGCAACACTGTTCATCATTGCCAAGGTAGGAATCAACCCAAATACCCCTCAGTGGACTAATGGATCAAGAAAATATGGTATATATACACAATGTACTTTTACTAATCCATTAGAAAGATTGATATTGTACTATTTGTAAAGAAATGGAAAGACCTGGAAAACATTATGTTAAGTGAAGTAAGTCAGGCCCAGAGAGACAAAAGGATGCATGTTTTCCCTTTTAGGTGGAAGCTTTATTTAGCTGACAAACTAGTAAGTAAATTCATTGCATGGTAGGCAAATGTATACAGATGTATTAACTGAATTACAGTAGATTAAAGGGAGATCTCAAATAATGTAACTCCCTAGAAAGCCCAAATCAGAGTTCAGCAAAATAAAAATAGCAGGAAGCAGCTACTTGAAAGGGGTGGTGTTGGGACAAGGTGAAATAGGTAGAGGAATGAAGAGGAGGTCATGGGGAGAATGCAGTCAAGAATTGAGTGTAGCCAGGCACCAGTGGCTCAGGCCTATAATCCTAGCTACTCAGGAGGCTGAGATCTGAGGATCACGGTTCAAAGTCATCCTGGGCAGGAAAGTCTGTGAGACTCTTATCTCCAATAAAGCACTAGAAAACCGGAAGTGACACTGTGGCTTAAGTGGTAGAGTGCTGGCCTTGTGCTGAAGAGCGCAGGGACAGCGCCCAAGCTTAGAGTTCAAGCCCTACAGCTGACCAAATAAATAAATAAGGAAATAAATAATTTAGTGTATATCCTACAAAATCAAGAGAAGTGAGAGGAGTTGGTTGAGAGTGATGGGTGAGAATGTTAAAAAGGAATGACATTGGTCAAGATGAATTGTATTCATAAACTGCTTTGTTAACTGGTGACTCCTTTGTACAACTGCTTAAAATGTTTTAAAAAATGAAGTTAATAATCCAAATGTAAAGCATTCTAAAGAAACTTCTGTGAGTGAAGTGCCTGCTGGTCTCTGAGTGGTCAATATAGAAGGATTTCCTTCTAGGTGAACACAAACTAAGCTTTCCTGAGGTAGAGTCTTGAGTTGGAGACTTAGGTTTAGAAGCACTAAGGTAATCTGCTATGCTCAATAGATCATGGACTGAGAGCTAAGCTGATGTGATGCCAGAGGAAAAAGTAAGTGTAGATCTTCAGCCCCATGGATAGTCATTTGGATGCTTCCTTGGGGTGTGAGTCATTGTTTTCATTGTAAGCATCCTTTCCTATTACATATATTAGAGAAACTAATATTGATCTATTTTCCTATTGCCAAAAGTCCCCCCTTCCCTTATCCAAGGATTGATTAGAGAATTGTTACCCAAAGAAAATCTTTGAGGAGAAAGTTAGATTTTAAATCTGGATCCTGAGCACAGGTTTTTTTTTTCTTATTCACTATCTTAGGGTGATAGAAGATTTATGCAATTAGAATGATATTTTTGTCAGTATTTGTATGGAGAATTGAGATATCTTAACCTAGTGGTCTTTACCCTCTATAGAGTATAAATTTGATTAGTAGTTCTTTGGGGTAAGCCACAGATGAATGCATGTTCATATTTTGTTCTTGTAACACATGGTAATGACATGATCATCTTTTAGGAGTTTGAGTGTGTTAGCTAAGGCTCAGAAAACTTTAGAAATAAGAAATTCGTTAAATGCCAAGAGTTTTGGTAACAATACATTGCACCACTTTGCTTAGCGTCCTTGAAATTTGTGCTTTCAGCAGGAGAGCACTAGGGCTGATTTCTGTTTTTCTAATTGTAGAGCAAGCGCAGAAGAAATAAGCTCTGAGAGTGCTTAGGAAAGATAAGATGCCTAGCTTCTCTTGAAAGCTCTGAAGTGCCCAACCAGAAGTGGTTTGGCTGACATGGGACAAGCACCTGAAATATAAAGGCTCTGCAGTTAGAAAGTGATCAGGACACAAGGATGGCAGCAGCACCCATGTAGGCTGTTTATGTCTGTTGTCCTTGTGTCCTCAGACATATATCCACTGGAAAAGTTGAGTCTGCCCTTTTTTTCCTCCAGAGAATTACTTGAAGACTTAAGAAACTCTTTTCATAAAGAGATGCCAAATAGTAGTGTTTGCATGTCATAAGTAAGGGACTTAAGAAGGTATTTATTTATGAAAGAAAACCACAAATACTGTTTTTATTTTTTTTTCTCAGGAAGTGGCGCTACAGCAGTGGTCCAGGCTGCCCTGTGCAAACCCAGGCAAGAACGTGTAGCAATAAAGAGGATCAACTTGGAAAAATGCCAGACCAGTATGGATGAACTACTAGTAAGTTAAGGAATCCTGCTGCTTGCTCTTTGTGACATCTGTGCATGTGGAGATGAGTGAGTAGAGCCATGGCTGGTGAATGAGTGGGTGTGGACTTCTCTTTGATATATGTATTTCTTGGGAACAGCCACAGCACTTCCTCCTCCTGCATAACTAATGATTCTATGCCTTGTGATTGTCTTGTACTTTCTATACTTTTCTTGGCTGTGATGAACAGTATTTTTCACCGTGTAAAACTTCAGTGGTCTTGGTGTTGACATTCCATTTTCTATACCAGTGGAGGCACGTTGTGCAGGATGGCTTGAGGACATGTGACTTTTTTGTGACCAGGAGTTTGAGGTCAAACTCCTGGCCCTCAAACTAGAAGGTTTGACATTTTAGCTTTCCAGAGTTTGGCTTTCTTACATGGTAACTTGTATTTTTCACTTGAAATGATATATGTTACTGATTGGAGTCTGTCTGTGTGGATATGATGTAGTAGCATTGGTTGGTTTAAAGGAAAATTTACTTTAGGCTTAACTGACTCATTATTAAATGAACAGCTTGGCAAATGATTATTAGTTGCCCAGCAAACTGTGAAGGGTTTGAGAGTTTAATCTCATAAATATGGTCATTGTTCTGCCTGCCAATTTTTTTCTTTTTCCTTTGGTCATTTATTTGAGGATAATAGAAAACTGTGGTGGAGGAGTTAACTGATTGGTTATCCCAACACTAATCCCAGTGCAAATATTAGTCCAATAGCTCCATACAAGCTACAAAGTATAATGACAGTTGGCTCCAGATAAAGAAGCCTTTTGTTATATTCTACATTGGGAATGGAATGTCATTAACAAGAGCTTTTTGTCTTCACTCAGAATATAGCTTTTATTTCAGGCTTAATTACAGTACACTATGGTATAAATTAAGTACAAGGGTAAAGCTGTACTTTTCCAGCTCTGTTTGGCCTCACATTTTAAATTTAGGCTACACAATACATAGATTTCACTAGGACTGAGGTAATAGATTATCTGTTTAAACTAAAATTAAATCAAGAACTTCTATAATGTAATGTTAACTTTTAAAACTTAGCCTTATAATTTAATGTTAATTTTTTAAATTTATGCCTTTCCTTCTCCTCTCCTTAGATGGACTTAGCTTGTATGGAAAGGACTACTGTATACATATTTGTCTGTGTATGGCCATTGTGGTGACCAAGAAAATTGTACCTTAGTCATCCAACCAGTTTTCAAGGTCACTTTCCCTGGGTGGAAAAAAATGCATTGAGCAAACTCTGGAGAGAGTTGAGTCCTGCTTCTCCTACTAAGCTTTTTTTTTTTTTTTTAAACAACTTTAGTTGATTTAAGTAATAGCTCATGGGTATTGTAAAAGACAGTTACATTTTAAGACCTTGAGTTCCTTCTGAAGTTCTTAAATTCTGTGGCTGTATATAAGTGCACATTAGCTTTTCTTTAAAGTTTTTTTTTAAATATACATTTAAACTTAAGTACTATTGGGAAATATCACTCGATAACTTTCTCCTGGTGTTTGTCTCACTGGAATGCTTTATGGAGGTCCTAGCCATCCTCTGTATACCTGAATAGGTATACAGAATATGTGCTATGTGCTTATTTGCTCCTATGTCTGACAGTCCTAGAACCAGCCTGCTAGATGCTATGGCCAGTTTGTAGTCAAACCTCAGTTGTCCAGGTACTTCATATATTCCCTTGCAATTTTTTCCATTAGTAACTTGCTGCCTGGCTTGGTAGCTATATGACGACTTGAGTAGAGGTAAGCAGGGCATCATTCCAGTTCTCTTCTTTTCCTGAGACTAATAAGCATAGCCGTGTCATTTGGAGGTACTTGTAAGTTAGCTTTCTATCTAGGAATGAATGCTTTTATGGCTGTTGGCTGATTTATGAGTTAGCCTTGTGGTGGTTAATTTACTTCCCTTCTTTTTTATCTTCCTGTAATGTCTGTGTTGTAGAGCATATATGCCTAATTATTTCTTATTAAATTAAAATGGTTTCTCACTTAAAAGGAAACTAAAATAATAAATTTATTGCTTCCATCTTCCCTTAACCTTAAATCTTTGTCCTTTTAATGTTTGGGCATATTTAGAGAAGGGAAGAATTGCTATGGTTTTCAGAATGTATTATTCCCTGGTTCTTTAAAAAAAAAGAATTTATAGTTTACCTCAGGTTGTCAGGCTTTTATGTTCTAGTTGATACATGAGCTTGTGTGGAGCAAAGTTTCTGTCACTCTCTCAGCTTGTAATGCTGCTGTTGCCTGCACTTTTATTATGTCTGTGGGTTCACAATTTGGCAGTGTTTGGATATCCGGTATCCTAATAATCCCCTAGTTCCGTTGTCAGTGTGTGTTAGACACAGGTCAGTATGCGGCAGCATCTCACAGAGGGTGCCATGTGCTAACTGGAAAACTGGAAACCAGTGTTCTGAGAAGAAACAATGACCACTGGGATCTTTGTCTTATGGGAGTGCTATGTCATAGAAGTCATAGCTATCAGCTCTTTGCTGGCCATTGGAACATCTGCTTCTCTCTAAACTGTTATCACCTCCTGACCCCCATTACTACCCTGTCCTCATTTCCACTCCCTGTCCTGATTTCAGTCCCCTCTCTCTGCTATTGGCTTCCATGTTTTGTCCTTTGGCAAGCTCGAATCTACGTGCAGAGCTATTATCCTATAGTCTGCTTCTTAGGTACTGAGAATCTATACATTTCTTTGTGCTTGTAGAGTTGGTTCCTGGTTTTGTTGTAGAAAGATCCAGATTGTTAATGTGCTTTCTCTGGGAAACAAGGAGCAAAAGAAACATTGGATGAGATCATTGATATGAAATAATTGGTGATTTAAATGAACACTGCTAAATCTTTTTTGTTGTTATTGCTGTTTTGTTTAAAGAGGTGGCCTATTTAGAGTGTTTGTATAGGTACATTCCTGTTTCTGTGACAAAAGACAAAATTTAAACTGTCCCAAACAGAAAAATAATGACTCTCAGAAGTATTTTTTTTAGTTTGGTTCCATTACTAGATTTATTTATTATAAAGGTAGATATTTAGTATTCAGTACAGTTTTCAATAAAATTAGCTGGGCACTGTGGCTCATTCCTGAACCTTAGCTGCTTACCAGGCTGAGATCTGAGGATCACAGTTCAAAGCCATTCTGGGGCAGGAAAGTCCTTGAGAGTCTTCTCTCCATTTAAACACTAAAAAGTCAGAAGTGGAGCTGTAGCTCAAGTGTTAGAGTACTAGCCTTGAGCACAAAAGCTCAGGGAAGGTACCCAGGCACTGAGTTCAAATTCCAGACCAGTATCAAAAAAGTAATTAAAATTAAAAAATACACCATGAAAATGACTATTGTAATTAAATTACCAAAGGTAAATTAATTACATATACAAAGTGCATATACTTATTTGGTAAAGACTTAGTTTCTGTAGTGTGCTTAGTTCCATTAAAAGAATGATTTGAGGGTGTGTATGGGATTACCAGACTTTGTGCTTACTAAAAACTAAAATTTATTCTAATTTAACAGCAATTAGGTTAGCATACTTACTCTAAAACAAATATTTTCATTGATGTGATTCGAATGGTATTCAGTTAATCCAAACTAATATGTATGTTTGTGTTGTGGATTCATTTGAATTTCCTTCTGTTTTGGGGGTTTGACCTTTATCTGATCTCTGGGTAAAATGACCATATGGTTAAAATAATATTGATGTGTTCTATACATCCGAGACTATGTCAATACAGATGTAGTCACCTTTTGAGATTTGTTGTTGCCACATTTGTTGTTATCCCCATTTGTCAATCTCACAGTGGTATAAATGGCTAATTTTAATTAACTTAACAACTCTGGAAGATAATTATCCTTATAGAGCAGAAGCTTGTTAGCTGTTATTGGGCCCTGTAGATATTAGATTCTCAGTGAGGTGGTGGGAAGAAAAAAGGACTCCATAGATTTGTGAGTCTCTTCATTTTTGTGTTGGGTTGGAATGACTTTTGAGTTGCGAGTGCCTTTCTGTACTTTGTCCCTCTGTTGGCCTAGAACTGGTTTAGCAGATTGGTAGACAGATTACATTTCTCTAATATTCCTTTCATCAGTGGGATTGCTCTCCAAAATCAATTTCAGATTGACTAAAGGGATCTGACATGGGGCTGGGAAGGTGGCTCAGTGGTAGAGCGTTTGCCTTGCATACCTGAGGCCCTGGGTTCAATTCCTTAGCACCACATAAGCAGAAAGAAAAAAGCCAGAAGTGGTGCTGTGGCTCAAGTGGTAGAGCACTAGCCTTGAGCTGAAGAGCTGAGGGACAGCTTCCAGGCCCAGAGTTCAGGCCCCACGACCGGACCCCCCCCAAAAAAAAAAGCGGTTGCCTATGTCCTGGGTTTGATCCCCAGTACCAAAAAAAAGGGATCTGACATATGGTCTTGCAGAGGAGCATATTATATTCTATGTAGAGATGGCCTTGAGGTTTCTTTGTGGTCAGACTCAATGGTTAGGGATGCTACCTTAGTGCACATTTGACTTCCTTAGACTTCATTACATGAGTTAGCAATTTATCATCTTTGGAAGTTGTTTGTCTTTTATCCTTTGTCATCAGGTGACAAAATAAATTCCATTAATATTTCAGTCCTTTTAATTTACCTTAGAATCCACTTTTTCTAGCTTTCAGGGTATTCTCCTTTATTTTATCTAGAGATTGATTAATGCTTCAGCTTATCATTCATTTGACTTTATGACTTTTTTTTCTTTTTTTGTCGGTTGTGGAGCTTAACTCTGGGCTTGGGCACTTCAGCTCTTCAGCTCAAGGCCAGCCTTCTACTGTTTGAGCCACAGCACCACTTCCGGTTTTCTAGTGGTTTATTGGAGATAAGCATCTCACAGACTTTTCTGCTGAGGCTGGCTTTGAACTGTGATCCTCAGATCTCAGCCTCCTCGTAGCTAGGATAACAGGCATGAGCCACCAGCGCCTGGCTTGACTTTTTTTTTTTTGAAACAGGAATTTTCT